CAGCAGCTGCGCGAGTGGTTTGCTCAGGGCACCCGCCTTCGGAGTGGAGCTGCCGGAGCTGGAGACTCTGCCGCTGGAGACACTGGAGCTGGAGGTGCTGGAGTTGCTGCTGGAGCTAGTGGTACCGGAGGTGCTGCAGCTGCTGGTCCTGGAGGTGCTTGTACCAGGGGTACTGGAGCTGCCGGGACTGGTGGTGTTGGGGGAGCTGGAGCTGGTGACCCTACGGAGCCTGGAGCTGTTGGGGCTGGAGGAGCTGGAGCTGTTGGCGCTGGAGCTGGAGGCACTGGCGCGGGAGGCGCTGGAGCTGGAGGAGCTAGAGCTGTTGACCTTGGCGCTGGAGGTGCTGGAGGCACTGTGCGGCCGCGACCGTACTTTGTTCCCCTGCTTCAGCAAGTTCTTAGTAACCTGTCTTCTACTGGCCTTACTTCTCCCTTACTGTGTCCACCGCCTGACCAGTCGCAGTCGCCGTTATAGCCAACCTCCCCACTGCCTGCTCCTTCTCCTTACACTCAGCAAACACATGGTCTTACAGAGCGTCCTGAGCCTGCGTCTCGTCCTGCCTCTCTTGTTTGCACTGGTCGTCACGTTCCTCGTCCGCGTCCCCCTCCTGTCCCCGGCACACACACTATGGCACTTCGTCCCTCCTCTGTTCAACTACGTGTTCCTCTGCCTGCTCCTCCTGCGTCCTCTCTTCCAGAGGTCCCCGACCCTGAGTCTGACCACGCTCGTGCTGTCAGTCTCATTGTCTCTCGTCTCCTTGCCACTGCTGTCACTTTTCCTTCATTTGAGTCCACTGCTGCGTCTGCCCTCGTTGCTGAGCTGGTTGACTTTGCTGCTGCCTGTCGTCTGGCCTACGCCACTGCTCTTGTTGCTGAATCTGAGTCTGCCAGTCCTCCGTCAGTCGGGGGTGAGTGTGCTCTTGGCACGGACGTCCTTTAGGACAGGCAGGAGGACTTTGCGTATCTTGCAGCTGCTGTACCTCGTTTCGCTTCCATGCTACTGTCCGTAAGGGAGACCCGGATGCACCAGACATCCCGACCCCACACTCTTACGCAGAGGCGATTACGGGTCCTTACTCCTCTTAGTGGCCGGCAGCCATGGATACCGAGATGGCATCCTAGAAGTCCACAGGCATCTACATCGACGCAGTTCCCCCGTCTCGGGCGAACATAGTCGATGGCATGTGGATTTTCAGGGTGAAGCGGCCGCCTGGTTCTCCGCCTGCCTTCAAGGCGCGTTTACGTTTCTAGAGGCTTCAGTCAGCGACAGGGGGTCGACTACTTCCAGACCTTCTCCCCCACCCCAAAGATGGACTACTCTTCAGGTGTTGCTGCACGTCGATGCTCAACGTGACTACAAGTTACACTCTCTGTACTTCAATACAACTTTCTTGCAGGGCAGCCTGCACGAGGAGATCTGGTTGCGCCGCCCACCTGGCTTCACTGGGTCGTTTCCTGCAGGTACCCAGTGGAGCCTCCGGCGACCAATCTACGCTCTCCGCCAGGCGCCTCGCGAGTGGCACGACACACTCAGGACTACACTTGCGGCTCTTGGGTTTGCTCCTTCTACTGCTTACCGTCGCTGTTTCTACGCACCGACATGTCGCTGCCGCCGTTCTACGTCCTCGTGTACGTCGACGACTTGGTCTTTGCCAGTGCTGGCACTGAGGCACTGACCCTTGTGAAGTCGGAGCTGCAGAAGAGACACACCTGCACTGACCTGGGTGAACTGCGCAGCTATCTTGGCTTGCAGATCACCAGGGATAGAGCACGGCGCACCATCACCTTGACTCAGTCACACATGGTGCACCAGGTCCTTCAGCGCTTCGGTTTCTAGTTCTCCTCGCCACAGCCCACTCCTCTGTCTACCAGCCACTCGCTCTCACCTCCACCTTCAGACGAGTCCGTAGAGCCGAGTGGTCCGTACCCAGAGCTTGTGGGTTGCCTCATGTACCTGATGACGTGCACACGACCTGACCTCGCGTACCCTCTCAGCCTTCAAGCTCGCTACATGGCTCCCGGTAGGCACCGAAAGGTGCACTGGGATGCTGCGAAGAGGGTACTGCGTTACTTGTGCAGTACGTAAGGCATGGGGCTCGTGCTTAGAGGATGGGGTCTAGTTGTCCTCATTGGTCACGCAGACGCTTCTTGGGTTGAAGACTCAGCTACGCAGCGGTTGTGACAAGGTTACACCTTCAGCCTTGGCTCCGGCTCTGTTTCCTGGCGATCTACCCGCTCGTCTTCGGGTCTTAGTTCTAGTTGTGAGGCTGAGATCTACGCAGGGGCCATGGCTGCACAGGAGCTACGCTGGCTCACCTACCTGCTGACAGACTTGGGAGAGCGGCCTCGTTCGCCTCCAGTTCTGTACGTAGACAACAAGGCCATGATTGCCCTGTGTCAGGAGCACAGACTGGAGCACCGAACAAAGCACATCGCTCTGCGATACTTCCTTGCTCGAGAGTTGCAGCAGCGTGGCCAGCTTCGTTTTGCGTATGTGGCCACTAGGGCCAACATTGCTGATATATTCACCAAGGCACTTCCGCCTGGTGATCATCAGCGCTTCTCTACTGTGTTAGGCCTTGTGCCTACTTTGCCTCACTTGCTCACTGCTTGACTCTGCTTGTACTGTGATCTATATATATACCAGCATGCTTACACTTGCTAGGGTATGATCACTGTATTTTTTGCTCTTTTTATATAACTCTGCATGTGAACTCGCCTTGTGGCCATTTTCTTGTGCTCGGATTGTGTGGTGACTTTGTGATCCACCCTGAGCTTGCTTTGCTTTCTTGACTGGTCTTGTGACCACTTGTTCTCCCCCACTTTGCCTATGGGGGTGTGTCAGAATGTTATAGTGCTTACATTTGTGTAGGCTATAGTGGGGTAGCCCATAAGGGGTACAACCCAATTAGGGTTAGTAGTTGTACCCAACTTCTGTTCAATCCATTCATCCTCGATCGTTATTCTGACAATATATATAGCACAGTACAAGACAAGTCAAACAACCAGCAGATGAGGCAGAACGGGCAGAAGCCCAAGAGCAATGCAAGAACGCAGATGATCACCAGACCCGAGGGCATTGGTGAAGACATCAGCAGTGTCGGCTCGAGAGGCCACGTAGAAAAGGCGAAGCTGGCCACGCTGCTACAGCTTTCGAGCAAGAAAGTAGCAAAGAGCAATGTGCTTCGTTCTGTGCTCCGGTCTCTGCTCGTGACACAAGACCAGCATGGCCTTGTTGTCGACGTACAGAACTGGTCTTCGGCCCAAGAAACATCGGAGTGTCCTGTGAGTACCACTGAACCCTGCCCTCCAAGCACGAGCCCCATGCACGATGCACTGCACAAGTAACGCAGTTGCCTCTTTGCAGCATCCCAGTGCACCTTTCGGGGTCTACCGGGAGCCACGTAGCGAGCCAGGAGGCTGAGAGGGTACACGAGGTCAGGTCGCGTGCACGTCATCTGGTACATGAGGCAACCCACAAGCTCTGGATACGGACGGACCACTCGGTTTTTCGGACTCGTCCGAAGGTGGAGCTGAGAGCGATTGGCCTGCAGGTAGAGGAGTGGGCTGTGGCGAGGAGAAGATGAAGCCGAAGCGCTGAAGGATCTGGTGCACCATGTGTGACTGAGTCAGGGTGATGGTGCGACGTGCTCTGTCCTGGGTGATGTGCAAGCCAAGTTAGTTCCGCAGCTCACCCAGATCAGTGCCGGTGTGTCTCTCTTGCAGCTCCGCCTTCACTAGGGCCAGCGCCTCAGTGTCAGCAGTAGCAAAAATCAAGTCGTCGATGTACATGAGAACGTAGAACGGCGGCAGAGTAGTGTCGGTGCGTAGAAACAGCGACGGGTCAGGAGAGGAAGGAGCAAACCCAAGAACCACAAGTGTCGTCCTCAGCGTGTCGTGCCACTCGCGGGGCGCCTGACGAAGACCGTAGACTGGCCACCGGAGGCTCTACTAGGTACCCTCAATAAACGACCCAATGAAGCCAGGTGGGTAGCGCAGCCAGATCTCCTTGTGAAGGCTGCCCTACAAGAAAGCTGTGGAGAAGTTACGCTGTGCTGCAACGAGCAGCAACACCCAAAGAGTAGTCATCTTCGGGGTGGGGGAGAAGGTTTGAAAGTAGTCGACCCCCTGTCGCTGACTGAAGCCTCAAGCAACATAACGCGCCTTGAAGGTAGGCGGAGAACCCGGCGGCCACTTCACGCTGAAAATCCACATGCCATCGACTATGTTCGCCCCAGGACGAGGAACCTCGTCGACGTAGGTGCCTGTGGACTTCCAGGAAGCCATCTCTGCGTCCATGGCTGTCTCCTTAAAGCCCAAAAAAAAAAAAAAAAAAAAAAAAAAATCCATGGCTGTCTGTTACTGAGAGGAGTACTCACCCGCGATTGCCTCAGCTTAAGAGCGCGGGGTAGGTGTTGAAGTAGTAGCCATAGTGAGTGTAGGAACCATGCTAGGGTTCAATGTCGAGAGAGTTTGAGAAAGAATGAAAGTGGATTAGGGCAAGGGGGGGGGATACAATGAAGTGTCGAGCAATTTACTGTACCCCCTAAGGCTAAACCCACTACAGCCTAGATAGCAGTAAACTTATAATTTGACACACCCCCATAGGCGAAGTAGGGGATAGCAAACACAACAAAGCGGTCACAAGACCAGTCAGGAGAAGTAACCAAGCAAAGCAAGCTCAGGGTGGATCTCAAGATCACCACGCACTCTGAGCACTAAGCGGCCACAAGGCCAGTCCAAGAGGTTACATAAGATATACAGGTGCGAGTACAAGCAGGGCAAGGCTACGGCAGACGAGCAAAAAAGTCAACAAACCACCACCTCACCCTCCCCCCACAGTGGCACCCGCCACCCCCATACCCTCCAAGATCCCGCCACCCCCATACTCCCCCCCCCCACTGCTGCACACGCAGCAGGGGGATGGAGGAGAAAGGGGGGGGGGGGAGGGCGGGGGGGCTAGTGCTGCAGATCCCCTCCCCCCACTGCGACACCCGCACCATGGGAATGGAGGAGAAGGGGGGGGGGGGGGGGGGGGCGGGGGCGGGCGGGGTAGGGGCTGTGCATGGCGCGTGCAGAGGGCAGCAGGGCGCACGGGGCGCACAGGGCAGCAGGGCAGCAGGGCAGCAGGGCGCGCGGGGCGCACAGGGCTGCAGGGCGCGCGGGGCGCACAGGGCAGCAGGGCAGCAGGGCGCACAGGGCTGCAGGGCAGCAGGGCGCGCGGGGCGAACAGGGCAGCAGGGCGCACAGGGCTGCAGGGCAGCAGGGCGCACGGGGCGCGCAGGGCTGCAGGGCGCGCAGGGCTGCAGGGCAGCAGGACAGCAGGGCGCGCGGGGCGCGCAGGGCCGCAGGGCGCGCGGGGCGCACAGGGCAGCAGGGCAGCAGGGCGCACAGGGCTGCAGGGCAGCAGGGCGCGTGGGGCGCGCAGGGCTGCAGGGCGCGCAGGGCAGCAGGACAGCAGGGCACGCGGGGCGCGCAGGGCTGCAGGGCGCGCGGGGCGCACAGGGCAGCAGGGCAGCAGGGCGCACAGGGCTGCAGGGCAGCAGGGCGCAAGGGCTGCAGGGCAGCAGGGCGCGCGGGGCGCGCAGGGCGCGCAGGGCAGCAGGGCAGCAGGGCGCACGGGGCGCACAGGGCAGCAGGGCAGCAGGGCAGCAGGGCGCACAGGGCTGCAGGGCAGCAGGGCGCGCGGGGCACGCAGGGCTGCAGGGCGCGCAGGGCAGCAGGACAGCAGGGCGCGCAGGGCTGCAGGGCGCGCGGGGCGCACAGGGCAGCAGGGCAGCAGGGCGCGCGGGGCGCAGCAGGGCTGCAGGGCGTGCAGGGCACACAGGGCAGCAGGGCAGCAGGGCGCACAGGGCTGCAGGGCAGCAGGGCGCACAGGGCTGCAGGGCAGCAGGGCGCGCGGGGCGCACAGGGCTGCAGTTCCTCTCCCCCCCACTGCTGCACCCGCAGCAGGGGGATGGAGGAGAAGGGGGGGGGGGGTGGAGGGGGGGGGCTGGTGCTGCAGATCCCCTCCCCCCCACTGCTGCACCCGCAGCAGGGGGATGGAGGAGAAGGGGGGGGGGGGTGGAGGGGGGGGGGGGGGGGGGGGGCGGGGGGGCCTGGTGCTGCAGATCCCCTCCTGCCTCCCCCTGAACCTCCAAGCTCCCCCCCCCTCCCAACACAAGGTGCGGCAGGGAGAGAGAGAGGAGAAGGGGGGGCGGGGGGGGGGGGCTGATGCTGCAAATCCCCTCCCCCCCACTGCTGCTCCACTATCCGTCACCCCCCAGGGATGAAAGAGAAGGGGGGGTACGGGGGGGGCTGGTGCTGCAGATGCCCTCCCCCCCACTGCTGCTCCACAACCCTTCACCCCCCAGGGATGGAGGAGAAAGGGGGGGCGGGGGGGCTGGTGCTGCAGATCCCCTCCTGCCTCCCCCTGAACCTCCAAGCTCCCCCCCCCCTCCCAACACAAGGTGCGGCAGGGAGAGAGAGAGGAGGAGGCGTGGCGGCAGCTGCTGCTGCTGAGGCACATCCGCCACCCCCTCACACCCTCTCCCCCCCGTCCCCATGGAGGGGGGGGAGGGGGGGGAGGGGGGCGGGGGCGGAGCTGCGCGTGCGACTGCAGGGCACGCGGGCAGGAAGAAACCGTCACCCCTCTTGCCACCCCCTTACCCTCTATGGTGCGACGGGGCACCGGGGCCGCGGCTAGGGGCGACGGGGCCAAGGGGCCGAGGCGACGGGGCGACGGGCCTAGAGTCGCGAGGGGCCGCAGGTGGGGGCGACGGGGCCTAGGGGCCGAGGGGCTCCAGCTAGGGGCGACGGGGCCAAGGGGCCAAGGCGACGGGGCCTAGGGGGCGCGGCTAGGGGCGACGGGGCCAAGGGGCCGAGGGGCTCCAGCTAGGGGCGACTGGCGACGCCAAGGGGCGACGGGTCGCTAGGGGTCGCGACGGGCGACGGGCTAGGGGCGACGCCAAGGGGCGACGGGCCTAGGGGTGTCGAGCGCAAGTGACGGGCCACGGGGCCGGGGCCTAGGGGTGACGGGCCGAGGGGCTGTGCCGAACGTCGAGGGTAGGGCCGCACGAGGGCGGCGCGCAGGGTAGTAGGTGGTGGGCCCAAGGGTCGAAACTACTCTAATACCATGTTGAAGTAGTAGCTATAGTGAGTGTAGGAACCATGCTAGGGTTCAATGACGAGAGAGTTTGAGAAGGAATGAAAGTGGATTAGGGCAAGGGGGGGGGATACAATGAAGTGTCGAGCAATTTACTGTACCCCCTAAGGCTAAACCCACTACAGCCTAGATAGCAGTAAACTTATAATTTGACAGTAGGGATGTCAAGTGCATTTGGGTCTCCCTTAGGGCAAAGCAGCATGGATGCGAAATGAGGTAAAACGGCCGCAAGACACTCAAGCTCAAACTGCCTGTCCTCAAGGACGTCACTGCTAAGGGCAGGCTCACCCCCGACGAACGGAGGACAGACAGACTCAGACTTAGTAATAAGACTCGCGACGTAGTCGAGACGACTCCTATCTGCAAAGTCGACTAGCTCAGTGACTAGGGAAAACGCAGCAGTAGACTCAAAGTTAGGGTCGGTGACGACAGTAGCGAGGAGACGAGTGAAAGTAGGACTGGCAGCACGAGCAAGGTCGGACGCAGGGTCAGGAATGTGCGGAAGAGAGGACGCGGGAGGCTCAGGCAAGACAGCACGCTGTGGAACAGAGGAAGGACGAAGTGCCATACCGTGAGTGCCTGGGACAGCAGGAGGACGAGGACGGGCGACACGACGAGCACGAACAGACGTGGAAGCGATAAGTACTGCTGCGGTCTGCATTGATTGGCGGGTCAGGGCATCGGCGATATTGTTGGCGCCCTTCTTGTACGCGATGGTGTAGCGGAAATTTGACTCCAGGTAGTCGAGCCACCTGATTTGTCGCAGGTTGAGCTATGATTGGCTGCGCATGTACCGTAACGCCTTCTGGTCTGTCCTGATTGTGACTTCAGCTCCTGTGGGGTAGCAGCGCCAGGTACGACATGCATGCACGATAGCATGCATTTCTTTGTCGTGTACATGGTAGTTGCTGTTAAAAGTATATGTGTAGGATTGAGTGAACTAGAAAGAAGGGGGATACAAGTATGAAACCCTAGAGTTGTATCCCCTCTAAGGCTAGCCCCGCAATAGCCTACAGAACATAAACATACAATGTTTGACAGACCCCCATAGGAAAAGTGGGGGATAGCTAACACAACGAATGGTCACAAGACCAGTCAGGCAAGAGAACAAAGCAATGCAAAGCCTAGGGTGGATACCAAACATTGTGAGCACAAGCAAGCGGCCACAAGGCCAGTTCACATGCAGAGTTATAATAGCAAGGCAGTACACTGATCACAACCTAGCAAGAGTAAACATGCAGGTATAAATATATATATCAGTCTTCAACAAGTGCAAGGCAAGATCAAGAGACAAACAGGTGAGGCACAGTGGGAAGTAGCCCAAGAGCAGTGCAGAAACGCTGATGATCACTAGACCCAAGGGCCTTGGTGAAGACATCAGCAGTGTTGGCCCGAGAGGCCACGTAGGAAAGGCGAAGCTGACCACGCTGCTACAGCTCTCGAGCAAGAAATTAGCGAAGAGCAATGTGCTTCGTTTTGTGCTCCAGTCTCTGCTCGCGACACATGGAAAGCATAGCCTTGTTGTCGACGTACAGAACTGGAGGAGAACGAGGCCGCTTCCCCAAGTTGGTCAGCGCGAAGGTCAGCCAGCGTAGCTCCTATGCAGCCATAGCCCCAGCGTAGATCTCGGCCTCACAGCTCGAACCAAGCACAGAAGACAAACGAGTGGACCCCCACAAGACAGAACCAGAGCCGAGACTGAAGATGTAACCCTGTGACGACTGCTGAGTCGCCTGGTCGTCGGCCCAGAAAGCGTCTGAGTGACCTGTGAGTACCACTGAGTCCCGTCCTCCAAGCACAAGCCCCATGCCAGATGTACTGCACAAGTAACGCAGTACTCTCTTAGCAGCTTCCCAGTGCACCTTCCGGTGTGTACCAGGAGCCACGTAGCGAGCCAGGAGGCTGAGAGGGTACGCGAGGTCAGGTCGTGTGCACGCCACCAAGTACATGAGGCAACCCACAAGCTCTGGATACGCACCACTCGGATTGTCAGACTCGTCCGAAGGTGGAGCTGAGAGCGAGTGGCCTGTAGGCAGAGGAGTGGGCTGTGGCAAGGAGAAGATGAAGCCGAAGCGCTAAAGGACCTGCTGCACCATGTGGGATTGAGTCAACGTGATGGTGCACCTTGCTCTGTTGCGAGTGATATGCAAGCCAAGATAGCTGCGCAGTTCACCCAGGTCAGCGCAAGTGTGTCTCTTCTCCAGCTCCAACTTCACAAGGGTCAGTGCCTCAGTGTCAGCAGTAGCAAAGACCAAGTCATCGACGTACACGAGGATGTAGAACGCCGGCAGAGAAGTTTCAGTGCGCAGAAACAGCGACAGGTCAGCAGTCGAGGGGGCGAAACCAAGAGCCGCAAGTGTCATCCTCAGTGTGTCGTGCCACTCGCGGGGTGCCTGACGCATGCCATAGACTGGCCGCCGTAGGCTCCACTGGTTACCCTCAGGAAACAACCTAGTGAAGCCAGGTGGGCGGCGCAGCCAGAGTGCCTCGTGAAGGCTACCCTGCAAGAAGGTTGTTGAGAAGTCGAGGAAGTGCAGCTCGTAGTCACGCTGTGCTGCAACGTGCAGCAACACCCAAAGAGTAGTCATCTTCGGGGTGGGGGAGAAGGTCTGAAAGTAGTCGACCCCCCGTTGCTGACTGAAGCCTCGAGCAACGTAACGTGCCTTGAAGGCAGGCGGTGAACCCGGCGGCCACTTCACTGTGAGAATCCACATGCCATCGACTATGTTCGCCCCATGAGGAGGAACTGCGTCGACGTAGGTGCCTGTGGACTTCTAGGAAGCCATCTCTACGTCCATGGCTGTCTGCCACTGAGAGGAGTACTCACCCACGATCGCCTCAGCGTAAGAGCGCGGGGTAGGGATGTCAAGTGCATCTGGGTCTCCCTTAGGGCAAAGCAGCATGGATGCGAAACGAGGTAAAACGGCTGCAAGACACACAAGCTCAAACTGCCTATCCTCAAGGACGCCACTGCTAAGGGCAGGCTCACCCCCAACGGACGGAGGACAGACAGACTCAGACTTAGTAACAAGACTCGCGACGTAGTCGAGACGACTCCTAGCTGCAAAGTCGACTAGCTCAGTGACTGGGGCAAATGCAGCAGTAGACTCAAAGTCAGGGTCAGTGACGACAGTAGCGTGGAGACGAGTGACAGTAGGACTGGTAGTACGAGCAAGGTCGGACGCAGGGTCAGGAACGAGCGGAAGAGAGGACGCGGGAGGCTCCGGCAAGACAACACGCTGTGGAACAGAGGAAGGACGAAGTGCCATACTGTGAGTGCCTGGGACAGCAGGAGGACGAGGACGGGCGACACGACGAGCACGAACAGACATGGAAGCGATAAGTACTGCTGCGATCTGCATTGATGGGCGGGTCAGGGCATCGGCGATATTGTTGGCGCCCTTCTTGTACGCGATGGTGTAGCGGAAATTTGACTCCAGGTAGTCGAGCCACCTGATTTGTCGCGGGTTGAGCTATGGTTGGCTGCGCATGTACCGTAATGCCTTCTGGTCTGTCCTGATTGTGACGTCAGCTCCTGCGGGGTAGCAGCGCCAGGTACAACATGCATGCACGATAGCATGCATTTCTTTGTCGTGTGCAGGGTAGTTGCTGTTAAAAGTATATGTGCAGGAATGAGTGAACTAGAAAGAAGGGGGATACAAGTATGAAACCCTAGAGTTGTATCCCCTCTAAGGCTAGCCCCACAATAGCCAACATAAACATACAATGTTTGACAGACCCCCATTGGCAAATTGGGGGATAGCTAACAAAACGAACGGTCACAAGACCAGTCAGGCAAGAGAACAAAGCAATGCAAAGCCTAGGGTGGATCTCAAGGATACCACACAATGCGAGCACAAGCAAGCGGCCACAAGGCCAGTTCACATGCAGAGTTATAATAGCAAGGCAGTACACTGATCACAACCTAGCAAGAGTAAACATGCAGGTATAAATATATATCAGTGTACAACAAGTGCAAAGCAAGATCAAGAGACAAGCAGGTGAGGCAGAGTGGGAAGTAGCCCAAGAGCAGTGCAGAAACGCTGATGATCACTAGACCCAAGGGCCTTGGTGAAGACATCAGCAGTGTTGGCCTGAGAGGCCACGTAGGAAAGGCAAAGCTGATCACGCTGCTACAGCCCTCGAGCAAGAAAGTAGCGAAAAGCAATGTGCTTCGTTCTGTGCTCCAGTCTCTGCTCGCGACACATGGCAAGCATAGCCTTGTTGTCGACGTACAGAACTGGAGGAGAACGAGGCCGCTTCCCCAAGTTGGTCAGCGCGAAGGTCAGCCAGCGTAGCTCCTATGCAGCCATAGCCCCAGCGTAGATCTCGGCCTCACAGCTCGAACCAAGCACAAAAGACAAACGAGTGGACCTCCACGAGACAGAACCAGAGCCGAGACTGAAGGTGTAACCCTGTGACGACTGCTCAGTCGCCTGGTCGTCGGCGCAGGAAGCGTCTGAGTGACCTGTGAGTACCACTGAGTCCCGTCCTCCAAGCACAAGCCCCATGCTTGATGTACTGCACAAGTAATGCAGTACTCTCTTAGCAGCTTCCCAGTGCACCTTCCGGTGTGTACCGGGAGTCACGTAGCGAGCCAGGAGGCTGAGAGGGTACATGAGGT